TGCCCGGGCTGGTCTGGAACCTGTGGGCTCAGGCAATCCACTCACCTCAGCCTCCCAAAGTGCTGGGATTACAGGCTGAGCCACCAAGCCTGGCTGATGTGTTTTCATTTCTGTCTTCCATACCTAGAAGTGTAATTGGGGGTCACGTGGGAACTCTATTTTTAACATTTTGAGGAATGGCCACATCATTTTACATTTTCACCAGCAATATATGAAGGTTTTTCTTTCTTTACATCCTCACCAACACTTATTATTGTCTGTCTTTTTTTTCTTAGAGCCATTCCAGGGGGTGTAACGTGGTATGTCATTGTGTCTTCTTTTTAATTTAATTTTTTAATTTGATTTTTTTTCTTTTTCTTTTTTTGAGAGAGGGCTTTACTCTGTTCCTCAGGCTGAAGTGCAGTAGTATAATTATGGCTCACAGCAGCCTCCACCTCCTGGGCTCAAGTGATCCTCCTGCCTCAGCCACCTGAGTAGCTAGGACTACTGGCACATGCCACCACACTGGCTAATTTTTAAATTTTTTGTAGAGACAGAGTCTCACTTTATTTAAGTGTATACTTTAATAGCAATAAGTATGTTCACAATGTCAGGTAACCATCTCTAGATACTATTACCTATCTTCAGAACTTCATTATCCTAAACAGAAAATCTGTACCCATTAAACAGTAACTCCCATCCCCCCTCCCCTATCTACTGGCAGCCTCTGTTCTACTTTCTGTCTCTATTAATTTGCCTATTCTGGGGACGTCATATAAGTGGAATCATGCACTACTTGTTCTTTAGTTTCTGGTTTATTTCACCTAGCATAATGTTTTCAAGTTTCATCCATGTTGCAGCGTGTTTCAGAATTTTGTTCTTTATGAACCCGACTAATTTGTAATTGTATGTATAGATCACATTTTGCTTACCCATTCATCTGTTGATGGACACTTGGGTTGTCTATACCTTTGGCTATTGTGAATAATGCTGACATGAATATTGGTATACAAAGTATCTATTTGAGTCCCTGTTTTTAATTATTTGGGTATGAACTTAGAGTAGAATTTTTGGACCATATAACAACTGCATGTTTAATTTTGTTGTTTTCCACAGTGGCTGCACCACTTAATCAGCAAATGCATAAGGGGTTCCAATTTCTCCACATACTCTCCAACACGTGTGTGTGTGTGTGTGTGTGTGTGTGTGTGTGTGTGTGTGTGTTCATATTCATCCATAAACATATGGGGAGTGAGAGACACATAGTTTAATGATGAGATTACATTCTGAGAAATGCATGGTTATATGATTTTACTTTTGTGTAAACATCATAGTGTTCTTACACAAACAAACCTAGGGGTGTGTGTGTGTGTGTGTGTGTGTGTGTGTGTGTGTGCGCGCGCGCACGCGAGCGTGTGTTTCATATGGAAAACAAAATTCTCCAGGACATTACTTAATATCAGCCATTTTGTCTACTTGATCTGCAATGGCAATATCAAGTGTCACATATCAGGTTTCTATTTATGTGCCATTATAATCTTGCATTTTATATGTAGTTCATTACTGACCGCAATTTGATCATGATCTGCCTTGATGTGGCTTCTAATGTTTATTTTCTCTGTAGCTTATTGACTTTCTTGAATGTGATGGGTTCATAATCTCATTACATTTGGGAACATTTTCAGCTATTATTTCTTCACATATAGTTTCTGTTTTTGCCTCTTCCTCTCCTTCTGGACTGCAGATACACATGCATTAGACATTTGGTATATTTCCACAGTGAACTGATTCTCTGTTCATTTTTTTTCATTTGTTTTTCTCTTTTTCATTTTGAATAATTTCTGTTGTTATGTTTTTGTGCTCACTGATCTTTTCTTCTGGTGTCTAATCTGCTATTAGTGCATTTTTAATTTTATATATTTTATTTTTCCTCTCTAGATATTCCCTGGTTTTTTGTTTTTTTTTTTGTAGCTTTCATTACACTTTTCACTATGTTCATGTTTTTGTTTTCAATATTCATATTTGTAATAATTATTCAATATATGTAATTGGTATTCATAATATTTGTAATAGGTATTTTAATGTTTTTGCTTCTTTCCTCATCTTTGTCATTTCCTGGTCTTTTTCTATTGACTGACTTTTCTTCTGATTGTGAGTCACGTTTTTCCTGCTTTTTTTGTATGTCTAGTAAATTTTTATTGGATGCTTGATATTTTGAATTTTACACAAGGTGTTAGTTTCTGTTGTCTTCCTTTAAAGAGTGTTTTACTTTTTCAGGAAGGCAGTTACTTTTGGATGTTTGATCATTTTGAGATTTGTTTTTAAGCTTTCTTAGGACATGTTAGAGTATTATTCTGAAGTTAATTTAACCCTAATTCTTCTGCATGGTCATTCTGAATTCCTTACTGAATGCCCCTTATAACTGACGCGGCCCTTCCATTCTCTAGAGGGAATGTAATTTGTCTCATTGTGAGCTTGAGCAAATGCCCATCTTCCAGTATTATTCTTTGACCTCATGGGGTTTCATGCTGTATATACTCAGATTATTACTCGGCCAAAAACTCAAGGAGGGGACCCCATTCAGATTTCTGGAGAGTTTTTTTGTTGTTGTTTTTGTTTTTGCTTTTGTTTGCATTGCTGTGTTCCTTCTAGGACTCTGCCCTGCAAATTCTAGCTATCTTGGCCTCCCTGAGTTATGGTTTCTGGCTCAACTCAGTGAGAATATTGGACTCCTTGTATCCTGCAGCCTGGTGACGCTTCCAGGCAGTGAGCCAGATGGTTTGTTCGGTGACTATAATACTGAAGTACCTGTCATCCAGTGTTTGAAAATAGTGGCTCAAGTGTAGTCATGTTTAGATGCCTGCAGTGGAAGGGTGTCCTGAGCTGTCTTTTTCCTGTATGGTCAGCAGGTCACCTCCACTGAGTCTACATGTGTTTAAATCTGACAGCTCTGCTGATTGACCACCATTATGGCTGCAGCTGCCTGTGCATCCACCAGTAGGATCTGGAGTATTTTTTGTGGGCGCATGGATGTATTGAGCTGGAACTCTGAAGCTGACTCCTCTTCCTTACTCCCTGCTCTTTCTCCCTTACCTTTTGCAGAAAAGGTGTGAGCGCTACTGGGCCCAAGAGCATGAGCCACTACAGATTGGGCTTTTCTGCATCACCTTGGTAAGCTGGGACAGAGATGGAAACAGCGTTTGTTGGGCCTTAGATGTTGTGGGAGGTTGCAAGGAAGATTCCTAATGTGGAAAGCCTTTGAGCTGTGCCTGAAAGAATGAATTATTATCCCATAGTCCCCTCACACTGCAGGGAATCCTCTGGTATTAGCCTGCAAATAGCCAGCACTCAATATATGCATTACCTTTGCATTTTTATTTTGGCTACACTGTTATCCCTGTAATGTAAATATGCCTGGTTAGGTTCTTAAGATTCTTGTTTCTCTTACCACTTCAAAAGAACTTGGGGAAATGCTCTCAAGTCATGCATACTGTCAGTACTCAATAAATGCAATGGCTGTTTTATTCTAGACAAGAAATCTTGTCTTCACTGTAAATGGGTTTGTTTGGGGTTCTATAACAATGTCTTTCTTCTGTCATATGTTTCCTTCATGAGTTTTGGGGGATGTTCGAGCTTAATGAATATTTTTAAAATGCATTTTTTTGTACTTGATTTTTAATTGGAGATGTTTTACTTTCTATAAATGTATTTTTGGCACCTGTGATCTTTGTTCTCCTCTGTCTTTCCACCTGCCCTATATACTCAGACAAATGAAAAGTGGCTGAATGCAGATATAATGCTCAGGACCCTCAAGGTCACATTCCAGAAGGTACTGAAAAGGAGGTGGTACAGGGGTCCCTACATGGGGAGGGTTGTTCCTGTTTCCTCTTATGTAAAACGGGCATCACAATAGTACCTACCTCCTCAGTTATTATCTGATAGATTTAAATGGAAGATGCTTAGAACTGAACCTGGAGTGTAGTCAGTGTCCAATACATGCTTTTAAAAAAAATTTTCTTCCCTTTCTTGTGATTCAGGAATCCCGTTCTGTGCACCAGCTGCAGTTTATGTCCTGGCCAGACCATGGGGTCCCCAGTAGTCCTGACCATATGCTCGCTATGGTGGAGGAAGCCCATCGCCTCCAGGGATCTGGCCCTGGACCCCTCTGTGTCCACTGCAGGTTTAGATAATGGGCTTTAGGAGGGTCCAGTGAGGCAAAGGAGGTGGGGTTATGAAGCGAGGCTGGGAGGGGTGTATAGCTCGGGACCAGTCTTGCAGTCCGAGTGCCAAGTTTGAGAAATTCGGGGCCATCCTTGCTCTCCTGGGCACTGAGATTGTTGGCATGTGTGGAGCACAGACCAGCAGGAGTAAACACATAGCTGTTGCTCCACACACACAAGGGTTCAACGTGTTTCCTAGGCAAGAAGTGGTGGCTCATGACTATAATCCCAGCACTTTGGGAGGCTGAGGTGGGAGAATGGCTTAAGAGTTCAAGACTAGCCTGGGCAACAGAGTAAGACTTCGCCTCTACAAAAAAGTTTTTAAAATTAGTGGGGCCTGGTGGCATGCCCGTAGTTCCTGCTGTTCCAGAGGCTGAGGCTGAAGGACTGCCTGAGCCCAGGAAGTCGAGTCTGCAGTGAGCCATGATGTGCCACTGCACTCTAGCCTTGGCAACAGAGTGAGACTTCGACTAAAAAAAAAAAAGCGTTTTATTTTCCAATGTTCATCTGGGGATTCTGGGAATCTAGAGGTCCTGCAGGGATCTCTCATGAGGGCCCCCACTCAGCCCCACGTCCTCCTTTAAGAGGGCTTGGGGCAGGCCTTGACCCCTGGCTCTGATGTTGTCAGCGCCGGCTGCGGGCGAACCGGCGTCCTGTGCGTGGTGGACTACGTGCGGCAGTTGCTCCTGACCCAGGTATGAAAAGGGCATCTGTGTGAGTGCACTGAGTCCCATGCCCACGTGTTTCTGCTCATAAACCCCGTCTCTCTGCCTCAGACCATCCCATCTAACTTTAGCCTCTTCGATGTTGTCCTGGAGATGCGGAGGCAGCGGCCCTCGGCAGTGCAGACAAAGGTGAGGCCGAGTCTGGGTGTCCTCAGTCCCAGGACACAGGCCGGGCTCATCGGTGCTCTTGGGTTCCTTTCTTGATCACACCCCCCGCCCAACAGGAGCAGTACAGCTTCCTGTACCACACGGTGGCTCAGATGTTCCGCTCAGCAATCCAAAACGCCAGCCCCAGCTACCAGAACCTCAAGGAGGTACACAGACCCCTTCACACTCTTCTCCTCCTGTCTGCCATAAAAACCCTCAGAGACCAGGAACCAGAGCAGGGTCCACCCCTGGACTCCTGGGCCCTCCCCGGGGCATCCTTAATACACTGTCCCTCTTATGCTTACCCCCAGCCTGGCCAGTTTCCTCCAAAGCCTCACGACCCTGCCCGTCTCTGTTTTTCCCCCAGAATGGTGCCCCACTCTACGATGACGCCCTCTCCCTCCGGACTTCCCCATCCCTTCTTGCCATCCCGCGCCCGCCAAGCCCAGGAGGGGTGCTCAGGTACCCGGCTCCATCCCCTCATTCTCCCCTGTCAGATTCTCAGGCTACCCCTTTCTCACCAGTCCCTTCTTTGCTGTTCAGCTCATCAACTATTTGCTGGCCCTTTGTTTTGAGCTTGGGGAGCCCTCCCCCAGGTGACTTTTATCCCAGCGGTCCCACTGCCTCTGCCTCTGAGGCTAGCTCCGAGTCCCGAGGTTAGCCCCTTCCTGGGTCCTCCCATCAACAGTTAACTCGGTGAAGTATTTCTCGACGCGCCCACTTGTCAGGCCTCACGCTGGGGGCTGCGGGCGGCCGGCTCTCCTTCGCTGCAGAGGCTCCATCCCCTCTTCCTTGAGGCTGTCCCTCCCTCCCAAGGCTACTTCCTCATTCTTGTGTTCAACGAACGTCTATGGAGAAACGACCACTCCTCAATACCAACTCCCTGCCCACACAGCTGCCAGGCTGGCTCCACGCCTCCCTCACCCACCAGCCGGAGC